ACGATTAGAAATAAATGTGTAAATGTTTTACGATCAATAAAAAATTAACATCGAGAGGCAGTGTAATGTACATACATATATATTTATGTACATACATATATTTTCATAGTTGTTATTGTTTAAATATCTAATTTTGTATTTTTGTCCTTTGAACTAAGGAAATTATTCGCAGAACTGTATTTCGTCTTAACTTTGCCAAAAAATGTACGTGATTCAATATGCAGCATAACTTTTAAATTGCTGTTACGTATTTACAAGTTTCCTTCAACATTTAATGCAATACACGAAATAAACAAAGACAAAGTTTACCTCAATCTAATTTACATAATGGTTCTAAAATGAAGCCAGTTAAACACGAGAACAGACCACAATGTTTCTGAGCGCTAACAAACAATTGCATATTCTGTCTCAATTCCCTCTTTATTGCAAGAATTTATTACACAACGGGGAATTCCACATGACATCAAACAAATGTACAAACCTACGTGTTAAGGCATTTCAACTTTAAATCCACATTTGCCCCGTACTTTATTCATCATCAAGCTTTAGAACGGTTCTATTTTGCCCTATTATTCTTTCATCCTGCGAGCGAGCAATGAAAAGTAGAAATAATAAAGTGCTTTAAACAAAACCCCCCGAGGATTACCTCCAACCCACTTAGCCAGCTGTGCGTATACGTAAGTCTGTAATAATGCAAATGTATATACATATATGTGTGTGTGTTTATGTATCCCGAAAATTCTCCGGTGTTTGTGTGTATCACGAAACAATTGTATGCGAAGGAATGACTGACGGACGGACTGTCAATTGACAGCAATAAGCAGATTATTTTAAATGTCTAACACCATGTTCAACGCCACAGTAATAAAACGAAAATACGACGACGAAGAGCTGACGGAAAGAGCCAGTGAAGAGATTTGCATAGGCTTAACTTGGGCGCAGACCCGCCCCAACATTTATCTCATTCACGTTGTTTAGTGGCCAATTCAGTTACTGGCTTAGTTCTTGCAACACAGGACAAAGTAATTTGCATTGAGGAGAAAAACTGCCAAACTAAAAGGACACAAATCTGAGGCACACAAACATTTTGTATACACGTTAAATGGTAAAATTTCTTTACTACTTTTTTCTACTTTCGACTTTACTTTCTTGAGTGCTTAAAAGAAGATTCTAACTCGCAATTCTAAGTAAAATTTGATGCGCCGAAAGGTGTCCGCCTAGTGTCGGGTGTCGCTGGCTAGTTGACGTGCAATAGGGTACCTTGGCATGGGAAACACGGAATTATAATGGTAGGCCCATATTGACGACAATGTTAGCTTAAAAATAGAAAAATCCTAAAAAACAACAGGCAAACCTTGGAACTTTTTCTAAACTATCTGACATTATAGTACACTAACAAAATATTTACTTTTGATACACTGAAAAGCTAAACACAAGTTTTAATGTTGGTGAAGTAGCACATGTTGTGTTTCAATTTGCGCAAATTAATGAATAAGGACTTACACGTACTCATTTGTATTGTGCCGTTTGGGATCATGCTTATGCCAAAGAGTTTCCTTGCTTTTATTGAAGCTATGCTGCATTTGCGCCAGCGAAGAAGGAAGTATGAATGCCGTTTCTGAAATTAAATGGAAATGTTATATCATTAACGTTGAATTTTTTTAATTAAAATCGCGATTTACTTCGATTTATGAATTCGTTGTTCTAAGCCTGTTTACATAACAATTGATTAATCGGTTCTTTAGTAAGCATTTCAGCATATCTTTTGCCTTTGTTCACTCCTTTGAGCATTAATTATGTGGCTTTTGTAAAAATTTGCTCACATATACTAAAACGTAAGCTAAATGGTACACAAATTTTTACAAAATATGAAAGCCAGCATTTACATACATCCTTTCGGCAGAGTCTGTGTACCTACATACATGTACATACATACAAACCATATGCATTTAGTGCGTACACTGGTGGCAGAAATATGTAATAGAACCGCCTTATATTTCGCATTTTAGCTACATTTCTTTGGTTTTTTAATGTTCGATAGTTTTTTTTTTATAAAAGTGTAGCTCATTATGTAATAAAGTACATATAGGCAAATGTGCATTTCAAACTTTGTACAAGAATTATATAAATTCAACAAATGTTCACCTAAAATTCTAACTTTTTAGGTACACAGTTTTATAGCCCATTTAGTTTTATAGCCCAATTTTAGTACGATAAAGGCCAAGTAGTGTAGTGGTTAGCAGTGCGCGCTACCATTCCGCAGGGCCTGGGTTCAAGCCCGTTTCAACCCAACAAATAATAAAAACAAAAAAAAATTTTTTTTTTTCTTAACAGCGGTCGTCCCTCGGCAGGCAATGGCAAACCTCCGAGTGTATTTGTGCCATGAAAAACAGCTTCTCATAAAATATACAATCGCCGTTCGGTGCCGGTATAAAACACGCCACAAATCGGAGTAGACGGTCGGCCAAACACTAACATATTGTCTAAGCGCTTATATATTACTATTCTTAAAGCGCCAGCTTGAAGTGGCTACAATGTACCGTTGATTTTTTATAACTTTTTTTAGCTTAAGGTGTTGTGCATTTGCATCCATATAAAGTATGCTCAAAACAGGAATTTCTACAAAAAATGCGCACAACCGTTCGCAAAAAAAATAATAATCAACGCCAGGTTTCACAAATTGCTCTTTATGTATAAACGAAAACCAAAAAAGTTTGGTGGCAAAACAAATTATAAATAATCAATGCCATTTTTTAGCTGCTTGAAACTTGCTTTTTGTTGTACTAAAATTTAATGGGCGCAATTATGTATATGTATGTAGTTTATTACATTAGCTAGACTTTCATAAAAGAGATTAAAACATTAAATGAATAAAAGAAATTTAGTTAAAACAGGTCAAAATGCGGCGTTTCTATTATTTCTGCCACCAGTGTAAGTATGTATGTACGTACATCCTCTTGCGGATGCATTTGGATACCTGCTGCTGCGCAGCGAGTACATAATACTCTCACGCTAGTTTTAATCTGGACGAACGTCAGTTTGACAGCTTGGCGTTCGGCTGGTTAAACAAAGGACGAGGAAGTTAGCAGAACTTACGCGTCTACATTTGCATAATTTAAAAGACATAAAAGAGGAACTTCATGCAAATTTGATGGCGTGAAAATGAGTTTTTTCTGTAGGGCTCACTTTCAGACTTGTAAACACATCAGAATGAACACACGGTCGTTTTCGCATTACAAATTATGCTCACCGCCGTCGACAAGTTGTGGCCTCGGTGTGCTCGAGTTGCGTGTATTTTGCAGGGTGCGCCCTCTCAGCTTCACTTATACGAATACATACATATGTATGTATGTATATATATATGTACATGCATGCTTTGCAGGTGATTACTGTGTCACTCTTAATACACGGTCACACCACTGTGTAACTCTTCTGCTCAGGCAATGTTTAGGAGGTGCATGTGTACATATGTATGTATGTTTGCATAGATGTCGGTCTGCTTGCATAAATATGTGCTTAAGCATACATGTTCACACACACATGTGGGGACGAATACATACATATCTACATACCCTTTTTGCACTCATGTGCGCCTGCCTTTATGCAATTATTTTTGCCGTGTTAAGAAGCAGGAAGCAAGGCGTTGCTTTTTCTTTAATTATTGCCAAGCGTTCGTTTTGAATAATTTACCCAAGTGCGGCTTTTGACTCTTCAATGTGACTACTTTTGCAAAATGTACCAATTTTATATGTAAAATTTTATATTGCATTACAGGAGGTAATGAGAAACTTCATTAATATTCGTAAATGTATTGGCACAAGCCTATTTAGTCTTTATTACTTTTCTGTAGATATGTGTGCATGAGGTACTTGTCCTAAATATTAACTACATTAAAAAAAAAAATCCTGTTGTCGCGCACAAATGAAGTGATCTACAGTTCTACGTTGCCACCGCATGGCCGATGGTTTTACATGACAGAAATATGTACACTCTAAGGCCGCTATTATAAAAACACTAACGTGATATTGGTCGGTCGACGAGTCGGACGAGGAATCAGACCAGAGTCCTATCGGCTGACTGGCGCACCTAGCATTCGGCTACGTCGGCTACGTCGGCCGCCTGATACACCTAGCAGTAAAACTTAAACAAAAAAAAAATCAAATATGCTAGCACTTACCGTGAAGAATGCGTTTTCCCCGCTCGCCATGGCATCGAAAACCTTGACAGCTTCGTTTTTGTGTCAACGTTGGACAATGCTTTCCGCCATTTTGGGGTGCTTGCGTCATGTTTCGCGTTCGTAATGTGATTCCCGTGCCGCAGCTCTCATCGCATTCGCTCCATGGGGTCCAATCACCCACCTGACAATCGATCACTGCAAGAGAGAGAATAATTTTTTTTCGTCTTTTACAATAATGCACACATGAAATTAAATGTAATGAAAAAATAAACATATTTTTACCCCACTGTGCACAGGCAAGCTATTGTATGTACATAGGTACGCGCACAAATTATGTAAGTATATAATTTCAGCTGAAATTCAAAATGCGGCAAATTATGCGCCATTTTAATTGGTTTAAGGGAAAGTTGTTCTAATACAGCAGCGGTGATTTTTCTGTGGAAAACGTTATACATGTGCGTGCGTAATTTAGCAAGTGGCGTCCTTAGCCGGGGTAGTTATAAATGCGAATTTGGTAAAGCATGCAACGGGAGGCACTCGTATCATATTTTCATTACTGGCTCAATTGTCGTTACTGTTGCTTACATTCAATGAGCATTAAATTATTATTCATTAAAAAATCGTCTCAAGGCGCACAACGCCATTGCTAAACGAATAGGAGGGGAAAGAACGGCCTCGAGGAAAAACAATTACAAACCTAGATAACAATAATCAGCTTAACGGCGTACGAAACACCCTAAATTAAAAAAAAAAGAGGTATGCACATAAAACCCGCAAAAAAGATGGGCCGGCATATGTTGACGGACCCAAAAATTGAGTAATGATAATTTTAAAATTTAAAATTTTTATTATTCCTCCAATTGGAAACAATTTTAAGTTTCACAATCCGTTTCCGTGAAATTTCGTACAATGCATGGAATAGCTGAGCCCAGAGAGTGTAGGGTACATCAATGAAGTTTATGAACTGCTTTATGAAAATGTAATTAAATACTATTTCGTGAGACGAGGCACAGGCAGATTTCGTTAAAATGAAATTTCAGTAAACGCATTATAATCTAGTAAATTAAAAGCAATTAAAAATATCCAGAACAATCAGAGACTGAGGTTTTTCTTATCAAACAATAGAGTGTATTTACATACATACATACATACGTACGTTGTAATTTTTGTTGAATTTATGTAAACTAAAGTTTAGCGAAAAGTTCGACAGTTGCGGGTTTATAAAAACACAGTTATCTGTGTCTAAGGAAAGAGAAAATAAATTGCAAATATGAATACATATACAGCAACTCAGAAAAGGGACCATGTGTGGATTTTTTTCCAAATATTTACAATATATTTCAAGTAAATTTTTGTCGGTTATTTTTCTATAAAAATATTGTCCAAGCTTTAACAAAAAACTTGTAACTAAAAGTTTCAAACTTTATGCAAAAGTTGGGAAAGTTCAACAAATGTTCATACAAAATTTAAAACTTTTTAATCTTTAAAGCATTTCTGAGTATGCAGTTTTACAGACCATACAATTTTATTCGAAGAAGTGCAAGTTTCAATTAAAAAAAAATCCGTTGATTTTTGAGAATTTTTTTGTGACTGCTTTTGCGTTTTTTTTTTTATATGACCAGTGTAGTTTACAAAAACTGGTGTTGAATTTTTGAAATTTTGTTGCGAATGGCCTCCCGCATTTTATTTCATAAGAAATTCATGCTTATATGCAAAAAAAAAAAAATCATTCAGCAAAAAAAAAAATATTAAAAACAACGCGATTTTTCGGCCGCTTGAAACGTGCACTACATTAGACTAAAATTTGTGGGCTATAAAACTGCATACACAAAAATGTTCTAAAGATTCAGTTTAAAAAGATCGAATTTTGATGAAAATTTTATGAATTGTCTTAAATTGTTTATAAAGTATAGTATAAGGTTTTGGTTAAAGCTTGGACAATATTTTTTTTTATTTAGTTAAAAATCATTGCGCATATTTAAAAAAATCAACATGTGGTCACTAACCTACACACATACATACATATGTATTTAGAGCTCAGTAAACTGGCAGGTGTTTTTCTTTCTTTTCCAACGCCTGGATACATGGCGTATGAGTAACAAAATTTCCTACAAATATTTCATACAAAAAATTATATTTTAATTTAACAATCGATTACGGGGGGAAAAAATGGCCTCTGCGTAAAACTACCTACTGCAATTATTTAGATAATTGCTTCATCTATAATGTAGTATTTTTATTTTATACTTTATTCTGGACAAGTTTATGAACAAATTGACACGTTTTGGGATGGTCTCAAGTTTTTTTCTTTAAGTCCAATATGACGTCATCAGTGAACAGAAGATCATTTCAAAAAAACGTACGGATAATCAAGAAAATGACTTTGTAAATTTACCTAAAATATCGGCTTCAAATGTTCCAGTTTGAGCTCAGTTGCTATGTTATCGGCCCATTATACAAACATACGCACGCAAGCACGCATATTTGTGCAAAATAAGCACTTTGTAAACCAGTAAACAATTTATGCATGTGTGTGGAGGACATCTGGGGTAAGCAAACAGTCATTAAAATCGCCTTCACTAGCGGTTGATACAAGCACTTAGCCGAAAAAGCCCTTTTTACCTACATACATACAGCTGCGAGCACTAAAATAGTGCTAGTGTGCACTTACGGTTAACATATTTTTAAATTACTAGAAAACCAAAATAATAGTTGCATTCATTATATTGAAAAACTGAAGGACAATTTCATAACTAAATGTGGGGTCAAAAGAGTTTTATTTAAATAAACACTAAAAAAAATTAATTCATGTAAGATGTGTTTTCATGGAAACTACAGCGAGCAGAAAACGAAATAGTACATAACAAAAAGTTTTAAATTTGTATTAAAATGTTAATATTAATACTAAAATTTAGCACAATTACTTAGTATTTGGTAGCATGACCGTTGTTTTTAATCACTGCTGCATAACAATTTCTCTTAGAGTCTACGAGGCGTTGAATATTTCCTGAGGTACATATTGACTGCCATGCGCGGCCCATAGTTTGGGGTTATTTTTTGGTTTTAGATCCCATACGGTTTTATTAAGGTTGGTCTAAAGGTTTTCTATAGGATTGAGGTCAGAAGATTGAGCTGGCCACTCTATGACTTCAACTTCGTTGTCCCGAGACCACAATTTTGCTAGCTTACTTGTATGCTTCAGGTCGTTATCCTGCTCTAGTACCCATTTGAGTGGCATTTNTTTTATTAAGGTTGGTCTAAAGGTTTTCTATAGGATTGAGGTCAGAAGATTGAGCTGGCCACTCTATGACTTCAACTTCGTTGTCCCGAGACCACAATTTTGCTAGCTTACTTGTATGCTTCAGGTCGTTATCCTGCTCTAGTACCCATTTGAGTGGCATTTCCTCTTCAGCGAATGGAAGCATAACATCCTTCATTGTTTTTACGTACTTATTCTGG